TTTTGATTACACTACATAACACAATTTTTGTTCCTGGGTCATAAATGTCACTTCCTATTTGGTACTATCACAAAAAATAAGTTTATTAAACTGCACAAACTTTGTTTTTGAGGGACATACTTCAGCACATTTTGCTATAGCGTTTCAATGAATATCTCAATCAATTGAACATAATTTGTGCAATCATAAAAACAAAGTTTCTGGAATACAACAACTACTTTCAAAGCAAGTACCACATTAAACAGGAAACAACACTTCCAAACTAGGAACAGAAAAAAATTCAAACTGTTGCATAGCATTATCTGCTATGGAGATAATGGGAATGGCAACTCAGGGGTACTTGGGGAAAGGACATTTTAAAGTCAGACATCATCTCCACAAGCCTTGTATCTAAATCCAAACGACAGACTCCTGACTAAACAGAACAAACTCCAGCCTTCTAGATGCCCCTGTATCACAGCCCTCATCAGTTCTAGTGATAAGCAATACAGGAATTGTAGTCCAGCATCTGGAGCATCACAAAAAAATGACATGGAGGGTTGAATTTGGCCCAGGGGCCTTGTGCTTGACAGGTGCAGTTTATGCACTTAAGAATCACAGAACCCTCCAGTTGTTTTTGCCATAGATGTGTCTATTTCTGGACACAAATAACCATGCCACTATCCTACAATATGTCTTGACTTCATTAACCACACAGAAGAAAGTGCTTGTGTATGACAATGCCATCATGTGATCACATACACCAAAGGCAGCAAAGAGAGGTGTCCAACAAGTCCAGAAGAAGTGGAAGAAAGACATGATGGAGGAGGCATCAAACCTGGGACTATTTTTGCAGCATCTGCAGGCAGGATGCCTGGGTTAGGCAAGGATAAAGACAAAGTTGAAGCCGATCCTGTAGCCCGGATGGGGGAAAACAAAAGCTGCTCCAGCAAAAACAAAAACCGGGCACCTGCGACCCTAGGGCCCCTGAGATGAGGAGGCTGTGCCTGTCCCAAGAGTTTAGCTTTCTTTTTTTCTGTGTGACACACATCCTGTGAGCCAGAAGAGTTTTCTTCCCAAAGGAGGGAGCCGCCAACGTCACAGGCCATTTCATGCTTCATCACCCTGGTTCCCAACTCTTGTTTCAATTGTTGGGGGTTTTTTTCAGAAAGTGTGTCAAGAATAGAAGGAAGAAATACCCCTAAAGTTTACTTTGAATCAAAGGGCCCCTCCACATGGCCATATAACCCAGAATATCAATACAGATATTCCACAGTAACTGCTTTGAACTGGGTAATCTGAGACCCCTTCCACACAGCTGGTATAATCCACATTGAACTGAATTATACGACAGTGTGAACTCAGGGCCCTTCGAGACAGGTCCTATATTCCAGGATCCGATCCCAGGTTTTCTGTTTATCCAATTATCTGGCTGTGTGGACTCATATAATCCAGTTTAAAGCAGAAAACCTGTGATCAGATCCTGGGATATAGGGCCTGTCTGGAAGGGCCCTCATATAACCCAGATCAAAGTAGATAATGTGGATTATAGCAAGCTTTTGATGAATGAATTAAATTGCTAATGACAGCAAGGCCGATTTGCACCGGATTTAGCAAAGCATACTATTTAATTGATGAGTCTCCATAATAATTGTAATTTGTTTTAAATATTTGTAACGCTTAATATCTTATTTCTGGACATTATTATGCTTTGTATGATTTTGTCTTGTATTTTATGTTATTGTATTGTGTTATGATCCGCTTTAGGTCTCCTTAGGGAGAAAAGCGGGATGTAAATAAAAAATAATTAGTAATAGTATTACTATTATCTGCCTTGATATATAAATATACAGCTGTGTGGAAGGGGCCTTGCTTGCCAAACAGGAGTTAAGAATCCAGAGGCGAGGGAAACTCCTCCATTTATTTATTTCCTATATTTATACCCTGTCCTTCTTCCCCCCCCCCCCCGAAGGGGGACTCAGGGCGGCCTAACAAAAGCATCATACAATGCCAGCATCATTAAAAACAACCACAGTACAATCAAAATATTAAAAATTAAAACAACAATTAAAACAATTAATTAAGACACATCCATTAAAATTGAAATCCAAAAACCAGTCCGGGTCAATTCATTGCCATAAGTTGTGTGATCTTCTTCCACTTGCTGCTCACTGATCAAATGCTTGGTCCCATAACCAGGTCTTGATTTTCCTTCTAAAAGACGAGAGGGAGGTGGCCAATCTGATATCTCTAGGGAGGGCGTTCCATAGGCGGGGGGCCACTGGTGAGAAGGCCCTGTCTCTCGTCCCCATCAACCGTGTTTGCGATAGTGGTGGGATCGAAAGCAGGGCCTCTCCTGAAGATATTGAACTAAAGATCCTGGAGTCCTCGTGGACAACAAGTTAAACATGAGCCAACAATGTGATGTGGTGGCAAAAAAGCCATGGGATTTTGGCCTGCATCAATAGGAGCATAGTGCCTAGATCTAGGGAAGTAATGCTACCCCTCTATTCCACTTTGGTTAGACCACACCTGGAATATTGTGTCCAATTCTGGGCACCACAATTCAAGAAAGACATTGACAAGCTGGAATGTGTCCAGAGGAGGGCGACTAAAATGATCAGGGGTCTGGAGAACAAGCCCTATGAGGAGCGGCTTAAGGAGCTGGGCATGTTTAGTCTGAAGAAGAGAAGGCTGAGAGGAGATATGATAGTCATGTATAAATATGTGAGAGGAAGTCACAGGGAGGAGGGAGCAAGCTTGTTATCTGCTTCCCTGGAGACTAGGATGCGGAACAATGGCTTCAAACTACAAGAAAGGAGATTCCATCTGAACATGAGGAAGAACTGATGAATTTCTGATTTTACTTTTTGTAATTGTATGATCTGTATTTTAATGTATTTTATGTATTAATATATTACGATGCTATTATGTTTATCCTACTTGTGTATGAATTTCCTGCTGTTAGCCGGCCTGAGTCCCTGTTAGCCGGCCTGAGACCGGGTTATAAAAGCTCTAAATAAATAAATAAATAACTTCCTGACTGTGAGAGCCGTTCAGCAGTGGAACTCTCTGCCCCAGAGTGTGGTGGAGGCTCCTTCTTTGGAAGCTTTTAAACAGAGGCTGGATGGCCATCTGTCAGGGATGATTTGAATGCAATATTCCTGCTTCTTGGCTGGGCGTTGGACTGGATGGCCCATGAGGTCTCTTCCAACTCTTTGATTCTATGATTCTATGATTAATCACACTGCCAGAAAGGAAGAGGGCAAGGACGTTTAAGAGACAAGGGAGCTCGAGATTGCTACAGCTCATGACCATAAAGCTGACATAGAAAGTTAACCAGTTGTAGCTTCTACTATAACTGTTGTCCCCATCAGTAATCATAGTGAGACCTTGTTCCAGCAGCAGAAACAGGAGAAGAGGAAAAGTGGGGAGGCATCAAAGCGCAACCGTGTGGCATCCAAATCCAGAATCCCCATTCCGACCAAAGGCAGAGCTAGCCCTGAATGAAGGATGTTCTCCCCCTGCCTTTGTCAACATAGTAGCCAATATGCCTGGCTTCTTTGGGTAAAATAGTAGTGGAAAGGGGATACACAGCCTACCCTCCTTCCTTCCTTCCCTCTCTCCCTTTCTCTACTTCCCTTCCTTCTTTTAAACAGAGGCTGGATGGCCATCTGTCAAGGGTGCTTTGAATGCAATATTCCTGCTTATTGGCAGAAAGGGGTTGGACTGGATGGCCCATGAGGTCTCTTCCAACTCTAGGATTCTACTGGGAGAGCCGTTCAGCAGTGGAACTCTCTCCCCAGAGTGTGGTAGAGTCTCTTTCTTTAGAAGCTTTTAAGCAGAGGCTGGATGGCCATCTGTCAGGGGTGCTTTGAATGCAGTATTCCTGCTTCTTGGCAGGGGGTTGGACTGGATGGCCCATGAGGTCTCTTCCAACTCTTTGGTTCTATGTGATGGTTCGTCTACACTGCGGAATCAATACGCTTTGAGACCACTTTAACTCCCAATGAACGCTTTGAGACAGGCATGTAGCGGGGGGGGGGGGGCTTGAGGGGCTCCAGCCCCCCCCCCCCAAAATTCTCATGGTGGTTCGCAAAAAGACCTTACTGGTGCATTATTTAAACTGTTATGTTTATTGTATTGTCGAAGGCTTTCATGGCTGGAATCACTAGGTTCTTGTGGGGTTTTTTCGGGCTATAGAGCCATGTTCTAGAGGCATTTCTCCTGACGTTTCGCCTGCATCTATGGCAAGCATCCTCAGAGGTTGAGAAGGTCTGTTGGAAGTAGGAGGCGAAACATCAGGAAAAATGCCTCTAGAACATGGCCATATAGCTCAAAAAAAACCACAAGAAACTGTTATTATTATTATTATTATTATTATTATTATTATTATTATTATTATCCCATATGCATGGGGGTATTGGGATAATGATACAAAAGGTTTGCTAGGGTAGACCCTTTTCACTCAGACTCAGCCCCCCCCCCCATCAAACTCAGCTAAAACTACCCCCCCCCCCTCCGAAACGAAATCCTGGCTACGGGCCTGCTTTGAGACCACTTTAACATTGAGACCACTTTAACTCCTATGGAAATATGACGACGCCATGGGATCCCGGGAATTGCAGTTTGACAAGATCCTTGGAGGCCTGCCGCTTCACGACTCCCATGATTCCTTAGTATGGAGCCATGGCAGCAGGAGGAGTCTCAATGTGCATTAATTCCGTAGTGTAGATGTTCCCGAGGAAGAAAAGACTGCAATCCCAATGGTCTGATAGGAATTGTAGTCCAACCCTGGGAACGCGCTAGACAGACGAAACGGAGGAGGAGGAGAAAGGGTGCCTCTGTCTAGACGGAGGAATGAATGCGGTGTGACTCGACTTCAACCGCTACGGCATCACGAGAGCCGAAGAGTGCGATCGGGGCCGACCCGCACGATGCCATGGCAACGAATCATGGCAGCTCAAGCATTCCGCCAAGCAGGCCGCAAGGAAGCCTTCGCGCAAGCAACCTCCACTCACCTGCTCCTCTTCTTCTTCTTCCTCGCCCTCAACGCCGCTGTATAGCGCCTCCTCCTCCTTGTTTGTTTGCTCTTCTCCGCCCTTTCTTCTTCTCTCACCGACTCACTCCTTTATTTCCAAAGCAGCGGCCTTTTCCTTGACTTCTCTGTCTTTTCTGCCCTCCTCAAACTCGCCTCGCGCGCTCCTTCCCTGCCCCCCTCCCTTCTGGCCGGCACGAGCGCCCTCCTTTTTATCTCTTCCCTTCAGAGGCGCTCGTGCCCGTCGCTGGCTCGCGCCCGCCTGCCTGCCGCACAGTTGGCGTTTGAAAAGTGCCCAGCCGGTTTGTGTGGCTGTTTAGAACGCCGGCAGCGCAGCCCCGCCCCTTTCTGCGCCCGCCCAGCCAATCAGAGCTGCTCACCCGACAGAAGAGGAGAAGGAGGAGAAAAGGAACCAGTTTCCCTCCCCTCCCCCTGCTTTTCTCATTTCTCTCGTCCCTTTTGAGTGGCAGGTGAGTTTAAGCCAATCGTGTTTAGGAAGTGAGCCAAGGGGCGGGCAAATGTCGCCTGTGAAGGCGCTCATTGGGCAACGGGAAGGAAATGACAGGAGGCGGGGATAGAAGTAGGAGGCAAAGCTAAGCTTAACCCACAATGGTGGGGGAGGGTTGCGTGAGAATTAGGATCTTGTTTTTCAGAGGCAAAAGTGACGCCTTTTTGGGTCACACTTCCTAGAAGGGAATGAATCATAGAGTTGGGCCATCCAGTCCAAACCCCTTCGGCCAAGAAGCAGGAATATTGCATTCAAAGCACCCCCAACAGATGGCCATCCAGCCTCTGTTTAAAAGCTTCTAAAGAAGGAGCCTCCACCACGCTCCGTGGCAGAGAGTTCCACTGCTGAACAGCGGAATCATACAGTTGGAAGAGACCTCATGGTCCATCCAGTCCAACCCCTTTCTGCCAAGAAGCAGGAAACTTGCATTCAAAGCACCCCCGACAGATGGCCATCCAGCCTTTGCTTAAAGCCTTCCAAAGAAGAAGACTCTACAACACTCCGGGGCAGAGAGTTCTACTGCTGAACGGCTCTCCCAATAGAATCATAGAGTTGGAGGAGACCTCATGGCCATCCAGTCCAATCCCCTCCTGCCAAGAAGCAGGGAAATTGCATTCAAAGCACCCCCGACAGATGGCCATCCAGCCTCTGCTTAAAAGCTTCTAAAGAAGGAGACTCTACCACACTCTGGGGTGGAGAGTTCCACTGCTGAACGGCTCTCCCAGTAGAATCATACAGTTGGAAAAGACCTCGTGGGTCATCCAGTGCAACCCCATTCTGCCAAGAAGCAGGAACATCGCATTCAAAGCACCCCTGACAGATGGCCATCCAGCCTCTGCTTAAAAGCTTCCAAAGAAGGAGCCTCCACCGCACTCTGGGGCAGATAGTTCCACTGCTGAATGGCTCTCCCAGTCAGGAAGTTCTTCCTCATGTTCAGATGGAATCTCCTTTCTTGTAGTTTTTTCTTCCTACATGGAGTATCTTGAAGTGGCGTTGCAGTCCCTATCCCAAGTTTTGAATAATTAGAATAATAAAAACTTGGGCTCAAACTGTCAACCAAAGTCACTGAAAGTATTGTCATGGTAGGAATCACTGGGTTGCTATGAAATTTCTGGCTGTATGGCCATGTTCCAGAAGCATTCTCTCCTGATGTTTTGCCTGCATCTTGATGCAGGCGAAACATCAGGAGACAATGCTTCTGGAACATGGCCATACAGCCCAGAAAACTCGCAAAACCAAGGCACTGAAAGGTATGTCTTTCCCTCAACTAGCCCAAGGACTCACCTTTGCCTTTCAAAATACTGGATTCAGGGGCAAAGTCCACAAGAGGGTTACACCCCAGCAGGTGGAGGGAAGTGCCACAGGTAAATAGATAGACCACGAGGACAAAGAGAAAGGCACCGACATTTGATGCTTGTCACAATTTTGCGTTGGCCATAAATCACGCTGTGTGGCCTAAACATTGCTCAGAGGAGGTGCCGCCTGGCAGGGAAGCTGACATAATGATTCCACTTGTGAAGGAGCTTGGTCACGTAAATAAAATTCACGGCGCAGCAAGGCAAATTTGCACACAAAATGGGACGTGAGGCAATACGGTGAGAAACCTGCCTTTGCTTGACCACTCCAGGATCAAGAAATGCAACTCTGGAAGAAATGTAAATGGCAGTGTTCGAATTAGACTACTGCCGAGGCTATACTATGCAATTGATGGATTGTCACCTTGTTGTGCATGCTCCAATGAACCCAATAAACAATAAGCACAGAATGGGACTGGAATAAAGAGCTGATGGCTTTGCTTCTTCGTTCCCTGAACTGAATAAATTGCCCCCCAAATCCAGCATGATTTTGAAATAATTCTATATCTCCATACAGTTCATCTTGTAGAAACAAGATACTAGGAAGCTGTTGGAGTCATGGTCTCCCTGGGCGGCAAGGTCATGGGAGGAAACCAGACCAAGCACAATCTGAAGTCCTCAACGGCAGAGCAGGCGGATGATAACATGATACATGTTGCAAGCCTGCAACAGAACAGAAGCTACCAGTCGTCGAGTTAACCATGCCACTAGATGTGCACCTCATTCTGTGAAGACTGTGCGTTGATATAAATCAAATTCACACACAGTCATCTTCCAAATTTTTTTAAAAGAAAACCAACAAAAGTCCCATAAGTGGCGGCGGGGGCAGGATTATAAAATCTGGAAGGCCCTACTTATAGACTGGCAGATGGGCAGTGGATAATGGATTCATTTATTTTACCTCAAAGTCTGAAGCAGTTGAGTGGTTCGACAGCTGTATCTACGACTGAGCAGCTCTATTTAGGATCTACTCTGCTCACACTGAACAGGAAAAGGGCTAGAAAAGGTGCCCTAAGCATAGTCTGCCTCTCTTATCCCAGACTGGACTGCCACATCAAGAGGGATCACCACCTTGTAGTAAAAAAAACCAAAAACCAAAAGTGTCTGAGCTCTGCAAGAGCAACATTTTTCTGAATGAAGCAGAAAGTATTTGATGACCAGGACATTTGTAGGAAGACGAATATTCTTGTTTATAAAGCTATTGTCCCCCCAAACCTGTTATATACCTGTGAAACATGGACTGTCTACAGTTGTCACACTCAACTTTTGGAATGATTCTCATTAGTATTGCAATCCTGCAAATCCCTTCAGAAGATAGGTTGGCAAATGTCAATGTTGTGGAAGAAGCAAAGATAACCAGCATTGAAGCGATGATCCTTTGCCATCAATTTACAGGACTGGTCACATTGTCTGAATGCCTAATCACCATCTCCTAAAGTAGTTACTATACTCTCAACTCAAGAATGGAAAATGGAATGTTGGTGGACAAGAAAAGAGATTTGAAGATGGGCTTAAAGCCAACCTCAAAAACTTTGATGTAACACCAAGAAATGTGAAGCCCTTGCTCTTTGAATTCCAGCTCTGTGGAATTCAAAGAGGCATCAATGGAAGGCATAAAGAAGCAATGTGTCAAGAGGAAAGTGTGTCAAGCTTACCCTGACTGGGTCCGCCTTCCATCTGGAAACCAATGTCCTCACTGCAAAAGAACATGCAGATCAACATGCAGATTTCTACAGTCACCTACGAACCCACCAACAAGACCCTTGAAGGCAATCATACTCGGCCACAAGTGATAACCTATGATGATTATGACTGTACAGGCTAAAAAGATAACACCAGGAATGGTATAAAAAGGACTAATACACAACTGTAGAGTGTTTTTGGAAAATGTCACCATGGTGTCTAATGGTACAGCTGAGCACTTCTTCTGCAAAGGGAAAAGGCTCACATTGTCCTCCAAAGGCCAGAACCCTGAAATCAGAACTTAGATATATAGCCTTTCACTACTACCTAATAGGGAATAGACAAGAAACAGATAATGTTTAATTACAGAAAATGAGATAAAAAAAGAAGTGAGTTGATTGGTAAAGGTGCATAAAGAGAAATGATTGTATTATATTCAGATCTCTGTAGAATGTACATAGTCTAGTCTGGCGTCTTGTTCTGACTCTTAATTCCCTGGTTCCCAACATGGGGTACATGGGGTGAACTTGCCCATTGAAACCTTCAGCATGGTTTGCTTTTCTGTAAGTAACACCTGGTGACGTGGTAGATGGTGGCTCTTATGTCAATTGGTCCATAAACGTTTTGACATACACCTTTTTAAAATTAATATCCTAATGTACACAGCGGTCATCTGGTGACAATGGAGAGGAAGGAGTGAGGAGAGCATAGAGTTGCATGAGAACAGAAAAGGGAGGCCACTTTCAACATTACAAGCTATACAAAACGTATTAAAATGTCTCTTTGTTCTGCATATGTAGCAAGAAAGCTGTGACAAAATCCATAGCACAGTTATTACTTTCATAGGTAAATCAACATGTTTGTATGAAAAAAAAAAGATTATCAGCCACAAGAAAATTAACGACAGGTGACAAGATATTCTTGCATATAATCATCAAATACACACAATGAAGTTGGACACTTAAGTTACCTTGAATTCAATGCAGATGATTCAAATCATTCGTTCTTTAATTTTTCTCTTTCATGGATGCCATGTTCTTTGGAGGCTTGCTTAGACCACGTTAATGGCCTTTTAGACTGCCTCCTTGTGAATAGGAGTTCACTTTTTGAATAATAAGAATTTTATGTCATGAGGGATGGGGAGAGGAACATCAGGATTTTAGAGACGCTTAGGGGGGGGCATAGCCCCCCCCCCCAAAAAGGTTAAGACCCACTGCCCTAGGCTCGATACTAAAACCAGAATGTAGATATTCACTCAAGAGGCACCCTAGCCATACAGGAGCACACTGAATTCCACCCAGATGGAGCGCAAGCCCATTAGTACAGTCCTGAGTATGTCAGGCACAACAGACATACTCAGGCTTTTCTCCAGTACAGACTATTGAGTTTCCCACCAGATACACTCCACCAATCACAGGCTATAATGCATGACAACAATGAAGGTGCTTTGAACCAATAAGACAGTGGACTGTACAAATGTCTATTCTTTTCCAGTGTCTATAAAATGTCAAAGTCTGTAAACGGAGAGCATGTTCGAACTGGAAATTTCCCCTGGCATCCTTCCTTGACCAATGGAAGCAATTAACCTCTGATTTCACGCTCATTTCTGTATGTCTTGATTGGGAAACATTGGCGCTGGTACACCAGGAACAAACCCCAAGATTCAGGACAACATCCCATGATAGTCATTATAAACTGATCGTGACTGATATTGGGAGTCTATACGTTACAGCATTTGGGTATG